ACACAAACACCATAATCAATCTCATCTCTCTCCAGTGATCCACAAAAATCAATTATCAATCACTTTGTCTTTCATCGTTGTAATAGATTAAGATTATGTTTCTTCTCCTCCGTTAAACTCTCCATTGTTGTCCAATCTTCTGGTCAAACTGAGTTACGCTAGAGATCGATAATAGTTAACTATGTTCAAAAATCAGGTAACTATGTTTCTTATAATAGTTAACTATGTATGTTATTCTTTTTCATTATACATACTTTAATATGTAACTATATTTCTGATAATAGTTAACTATATACGTAACTACCTTCTGAATATATAGTTAACTTTGTTTTTTTAATAAGTAACTATTATAACAACATTTTCATGTAGTCAACTATGTTATGAAATCCGTAAATTAGACAAATATTCTCTAAAATAGTTAACTATGCTTTTAAATTGTAACTATTTAATTAAATATGTTTTTTTAAATCAGATCAATAGAATATGTAGTTTCAAAAATATTTAACTATGTAATTAAATAGTTAACTATTATAACATATTTGTTTTGTTTGTCATCTTCTTCCGTACGCCTGTTTTCTGACCTAATTTTATTATGTTTGAAGAGTAGATATACTTTTTTAGAAAAAAATATTAGAGATGAGAGGAATATAATTTGGGGATTTCTTTTCAAATTTACCTTAATTAAGTCTGTAGGGGCAATTTCATTATATATTTATTTCTCCCGGGTATTTACCTAATTTTATTTTGTAACATGTTGGTTACCCAATTTTTACTCCCATAAGTAATATTCAATTAATTAACCCTTGTTTTAAATGCAGTACTGATTTTTGATGAAAGAATTATTGAAAATTTTAAAATAGTTTTTTTTAAGAATTATTCGAAATTTCAAATTTACCGTGGTTTTAGAAAAGAAAAAAAAACATCCAGTCCATACAAAAACATTTTTTTTCTTTTTAGATTTTGAGCTGGATCGGGATTACCCGAGTATATAACCAAAATCATTTTTCTCAAAAAATTGTTCGACTCTCAGAGATTACATATATGTTTTTTCCAGCAAATATTCCCCTTGATATATCTTGATGAAATATTTTTTTGTCAGAAATTCAAACCTTAAGATCCCTAAATTCAGTAACCATTTACTTGAGCGTTGATAGAGAGCGGA